GATGGGTTGATTGACTGATTATAGGTGGTTTCAAACCAGATTTTCAGTGCGATATTTGATAGATGTGGCTTGAGTTGATGCTGGGCTCGGAGGGCAGCCTTTTGGCTGTTTAAAATAGGTTGACGGGTTTGCTTTGGCATTGCAGAAGGGAGGGACGAAGTCAAAATAGCCTATTTTGGTTACTCCTATATTAGCAATTTTGTATTGGAGGAGGGGAGAATTTAAGCAACTTGCTAGTAATGGAGTATTAAGCAATTTTATATGGAGTTGTAATTTGGACAGCGTGGCCAGTTGCTTATAATGGAGTATTGCTTATATCGGAGTTGCTTATAACGGGGTTTTACAGTAGTACCCAAGACCCTCTGCGGATCCCGAGGGGCGCTGAAGCATGTAAGCTGAAGCATGTAAGCAGGAGAACCAGGTTCATCACCTGCTCCGGCAGGATCGGGATGTAGGATCTAGATGTAAGAGCTAGGATCCCGTGGATCATCCATAAGCATGGATCCTGTGACTGCAGATATCTATAGTATGAAAGTATGAAGTATGGAGTGTAGCGATCATGAGACCCTGAACTCAATCCAGGCATTCACGAACAAAAGCACGATATATACAAAGTACGGAGTACAGAAAAGTAAAGCGTCAAGCCATCTGAATAACAACCCCCTCGGACGCATCGCGCCACTGCGAACCCATCCCCCGGATCCGACGCTCACTAGCAAGATAAAGCAACAGATAGACATGAGGCGCGATTTCACCCCATGTATACACCTTCAACACAAAGCTTCCAGCATCAGGGTTCGATGGATGAGGAGTAGGATGATGATGGAGAAGAGGAAGATCACGCCCCCGATCTGGAACCAGATCTCGATCTGCTGCTGCTGACCCAAACACCCGCTCCTCTCGCTCAAGAACACACCAAACCCCCCAACCCGCACGCCCCTCATTCGCAATAAAATCCTCTAAAAACCCCCAAAACCGACTAAACAACTCCCTATCCCAAGTATTTGGATTTACACCCGCAGCAGCATTATTTGCATGTGCAATAGTAGCCGTACTAGCAGCACCGGACGCTCGGCCGGTCCAGCCCCGACCCGAAGACCGGGGATAACGGGTGCCCAGGCCCGAGCCCAGCGGATCGTGCAAACGCAAACGCAGACGAAGCCACCAATAACCCCGTTCGAGGACGTGGAGCGGGCGGGCCTGGTGCGTCGGGACAAACGTCCGGGCGAGATTGAGGCGGTTGGCGAGGAGGGAGAGGGTGGGTGTAATGTGTGTTGTGAAGGGGGTTGAGGCGATGGGGGGTTGTTGGGGGTTGATTGTTAGGGGGGTTTTTAGCTGTTCTTGTTCATTGTCTGGTGGTTCTTGTGGTGGTGGACAGGGTCTCTTGGGATGTCTCTCTTGTATTGGTGACGGTAATGGTGGTGACCGTTTAAAGGAGGCCAGTGGCGATTCGGGAATGACAGAGACCGGACTATCAAAGGAGTCGGGAGCTAATCGTGCAGGTGCGAGCGGAGGATCATGCGGGAAACTATTCTCGGTCTCGTTCTCGTTCTCCTGGTCGTGAGTGGTAATAGGGTAGAAGGTCTGGAGAATGGCGTCGGCTTGAGTTAGATAGCGGCAGTCGTCGTGGAAGGAACTGGGGGCGGCAATGTGGACGAGGGTTTGGTTCATCCTGTATAGTACAGGTATATCGTAATTATATATAGCTGTAGCAGTAGCTGTAGCAGTATTGCAGTATTGCAGTATTGCAGTATATACTCTGTCTGTAGTGTAGTTGTATTTGTATACTCTAGTGTTATGAGCACTGGTGTAGAGTCATCTACATCGGGAAAGACAGCGAGAAAAAAAAAAAAAAAAAAAAAAAAAAAAAAAAGATCAACTTCGATAGTGCGAGTTCTTTTTGGGTTATTTGCTTTATTGATTGTTCTCTTTTTGCTCTCTCAAGGTCACACACTACTACTATTACTACTACTGTACGGGTGTACAAGGCTTGTGTTACTATCTCTCTCGTCTTTCTCCTCTCCTATTCTTTCACCTCCTCAACAATTCAATTCATTTCGTCTCATCCAAGAAAAACTATACTCTATCCTATACTTATAACTGAGTAAGTTACTCTGTCTGTCTCTCCTGACACCGGCAGGGCTGAAATCTCGGGTGTTAGATTCTAGTGACAGTCATCTTCTCTCTCCTCGACTCTCCTTTCGACTCTCCCACGATCGTTACATTCCTCGACTTTTCCTTACCAATTCCGTCTCTTTCTCGTGCATTTCGGCAGGTCTCCTCGTGTCTCCTCATCCCGGTCTTCATCCTTGCTTTGTCGATTCGATCGCGCCGGTCGCATTCCTCGGTCGGTCCGTCCAGTCTGTGAAGCTGCGCTCGTTCCAACCCAACGTCTCCCACAATATAACACATCGAATATATATACCCCGTGCAAATCCGACATGTCCTCCAGGGGCAACGCTTATCCTCTAGACCATGGCCCGCCCAGTCGTCATAATATGCAACCCCCTCCGACTCTGCGTGGTAAGTCGCCACATTAGGCGTCCTCCTGTTGGAATCCCGGCTAACGGCTGCAGCTCAACCATCGCAGGCCAGCATGAAGACCTCGCTGAGTTCTGATTTCATGAAATTTTTCGGCGGCGGCGGCGGTGGAGGTGGTGGAGGAAATAATGCTGCTCAGGCAAAGAAGGTCACTCGAGGTTGGTTGGTCTGTATATTGGTCAATGAGACGAGGCTAACGAGTCAAGATGGCCAAACTCCCAAACGACGAGGTCCCAAGCCTGATAGCAAACCGGCCTTGACCCGGCGACAGGAATTAAATCGTCAAGCTCAGAGGTACTTTCGCCATCAATATTCACTTTGGACCATACTGACTTCTCAGAACCCATCGCGAACGCAAAGAACAATACGTGCGCACCCTGGAGACCGAACTGTCCCGGTTACGAGAGGCCTATACCCAAGACATTTCCTCCGCCAATGCTACCGTGCAGCAGCAGCGACAGGTCATCCACTCTGTGACCGAGGAAAACGACATCCTGAAAGAAATCCTCTCCGCCCATGGCATCTCCTACGAAGCCGAACTCGAACGTCGCAAGGCTCAGCGTCCGGCCCCTGGTTATCATCAATCGAGTCCCTTTTCCAATAGCATGGGTGCCTCGACCGTGCCTAGCGGTCCTGCATCCAACCACAACGCCTACACCACACCGCCCACCACTGTCGCGTCGAGTCTGAGCCCGCGGAACGGTTCTGAGAAGGGAGCCGATATCTCGTCCAGGTCAGGATCTTTCTCCCATTCTCATTCTCATGCGCATGGTATGCAATGCGAGTTTGGCTTCCTGGACGGATCGAGGATTGGATCAGCCGGAATGCATGAGCCGGTGCAGACCCAGCCGGGTGTTTTTGAGAACGATCCTCAGCTTCAGATCGACTTTATCCTGACGTATGTGACCACATCCCTTTCATCACAGCCCATTACTAATTATGTAGCCTGGAGGGACCATGTCGCGAACATACCGACTATCTCTGTCGACGATCGGTAACCGAGGCCGACGACGAAGATATGCCGTTCTCCGGCCACGCGCTGATGGCCAGCTGTCCCCCACCGAGCTACATTGCCAACACGACCGATAGGAACCCATACCCGCACAAGACGTACGATCTCCCGGCCGCCAACCTATCGACCCTGTTCAACCTCAGCAAGCAACTGGTCACGGAAGGCCAGATTACGCCGATCATGGCTTTGAAGCAACTGAAGAGTGAGGCCGTGTATCCCACGCTGAGCCGGGACGATGTCAGAATCATCATGGACACACTGAACACCAAGGTGCGATGCTATGGATTTGGCGCCGTAATGGAGGACTTTGAGCTGGCGGATTGTCTGAGCAGCGTGTTGGGGACCAAGGTCGATGCAGGGATTCATGCTCACTCGCAGGATGAGCTGATGTATGCGTGACCGTCGTGTTGGGTTGAATTGGAAAAGGTGTTGGTGAGATGGTGTCATACTGGAGTCATTCTCTTCTTCCGTTCTTATGTTTTGTCCATTGTCCATCTTTTGCTTTCTTATGTCAATTACTTTTATTTTCCCTACTATATCATACCATACCATACTTTACTCAACTATACAACTTCAACAACCCCCTGACCCAAACCTTGTCCCTGATCCTGCGCCAAACTCTCCCTCAAATCCCCAATAAACCCAGCCAACTCCCCCATCCCAACCCCCTCCCTAACCATCCCAACAATCCCCTCCACAACCCCCTCCTCCTCCTCCCTCATCTCCCCAAACACAGTCTCCATCGCCTCGAGTTCGCGCCAATCAATCCGCCCTTCGCTGCCACCATCAGTCCCAGAATTCCCATTCTCATCTTCGGAAATCTGCATCTTCAACGCGCGGATTTTCCGGCGCAGGTCCGCGATTGTCTCGGCGGATTTCATGGCGGTGCGGTCGATGTCGGTTGTTGTGTAGGTGCATTGTTCCGGGTGGGCGCGGGAGAGGCACGTGCTGCAGGGAGTTAGGCGGTCGCACTTTTTTTTATTATCAGCTTGTATCCAGAATGCGTTTTTTTTTTTTTTTTTTTTTTTTTTTTTTTTTCTCTCTTGTACCTGGGGTAGGATGTAGTTTGGGATGTAGAGGGAGGGGAGAGGAGAGGGGTACCTTGACTTTACGATTCCGGCACGGGGTGCACGATGCTGAAGGGCGGGTTTTTGTTGGATTGGTATTGGCATTGGAATTGGCAGATTGGTTGATATTTTGTGTTGGATTTTGGTGATGGTTTTGGATTTGCGATTGGGTTTGAGATTGCGGCTGAAGTTGAGGTTGAGGGTGAGATTGAGCGTGGTGGGCATATTGGGCTTGGACTTGAGCTTGGGCTTGAGCTTGGAGTTGGAGCCGGGGCGGTAGGGGGTACATTTTGTTTGGTGTAGGATGAATGGATAGAGTTGAAGGTAGAGAGATAGAGTGGGAAGATGTTTGTTGATCGATAACGGTTGTGGAGATTTACAGATTGATCAAGATGGTGATGACTAACCGCGGTAAAAATGGATCTAGATCGTAGCACAATATACAAAAGTACGAATACTGTAGAAAAGAAGGTCACAGATCATGCAATTCATAACTACAGTAGACAAAGCTTCTATTATTTGCTACGCTGCGCTCCGCTCCGCAAATAACAGAACGCAATTAAGCTTCCTCCTCAGCAACCTCCTGCTCCTCAACCTCTTCCTCCTCCTCGAACGTGTTGACCGGCACACTGTACAACCGCAAGACAGGCTTGTTCGGGTCCTTGATCAACAGGTACTTCTTTGGAGTCTCCGCGTCCTCACCGGCGTCAAGCGCACGGATGCGGTCGACAATGGTCCGCACAATACCCCATCCGTTACCCAGGTTCAGGTTCATCTGGGTAGCGAACTCGCGGGGCTTGTAGCCGACGACGCCGAGAACGACGTGACTGGTGTTGGAGCGGGGGTTGGCGCGCGACACGAAACCAAGCTTCATGGCGTCGGCCTTGGCGAGGATAGCCTGGGTGGTCCAGCGGGCGAGCTTGGAGGAGTTGTTCTTCATTTCGGTGGCGATGACGGCGCCGCGCTGCGACCAGAGCTTGTTGCGCCAGTCGAGACCGCCGCCGGAGCCTTGGGCCTTGTTGTCGAATTCGTTGAGGGCCTTGACGAGGACTTGTTGGTCTTCGCCGGTGACGGGGTTGCGCAGGGCGGCGTCGACCTCGGTACGGACGATCATGTTGAGGGGCTCCTCGTCGCGCTCGAGGGAGAGGTCGAAGCGGCGGTACTTGTAGCCCTTGGAGGCGAGGGGTTCGGTCTCCTCGGAGGCGTTGTAGAAGTGGTTGGGGTTGGAGAACTCGATGCGGTGCTCTTGCGACTCGGACATGGTTTGCAGGGCGAAGTTGTGGTTGATGACGGTGGCTTCCAGGGCGAGGGCGCTGGGGGTGTTGATCGAGTCGGCGGACTTGCTGCCGGCGTTGTCGGTGACTTCCATGGGTGCGTCGATGGCGTTTTCATTGACGGTGACGAGGTCAATGGAGGCGCCGTCGCGCTTGTCGAAGTAGATCTTGTTGCCCTGGTGCACGATCACAATGTCCCACGAGTAGACACTACGGGGAGCGCACATGAGCATGGACAGGATGTCCGACGAGGCGAACACGGTGGCCTCGTTCTTCTCTGCCAGCTCCTGGATAACGGGGTCCTGCGAGGTGGTGACGTTGTAGGCAGCGCGGTCCATAGACGCCAACCGACGTTCCATATTCTTAACAGGCACCTTGTCGTACGATCGGTCGTAGTAGTAAAGGAAACCGTACGTGTCGAGGTCCTCACCATCAGGCGTCTCAAGGTTCAGCTTCGACAAACGGTTAAAGTCCACCTCTTCCAGCAGCGACCACTCAGGCCGCACGTTAACCGAAGGCTCGCGCGTCCGCTGCGGCTTGTCGTAGTCCCTCCATCCGAATCGACGGCCACCACGGCCGCCGCGCCCGCCGCGGTTGTCGTAGTACCGGTCACCACCCTGGCCACGGCCTCCTCCAACAGCACGCTGGAAACCACCCCGACCACCACGCTGACCCATACCACCACGCTGACCACGGCCACGGAAGACCGTACCGCGGCCACCACCGAAACCGCGCTTGGCGGTTGCGCGGGTGTTGTCGACAACGGAGAACGAGGACTCGTCTTCGGTGGCCTGGATGTTGAACAGGCTCGATGCTCCACCGGCGCCGTACACCTGCTGGTCTGTTCGAGTTAGCACTTTTCCTGCTCGGAATATTTCCCGGGTGATTGAAAGGCGTACCTCTGAAGTTCCGGTTGTATTGCGGGCGACCACCACGCTCGCGGTCCTTCGACTCAGCGGTCCAGTCGGCCATGCGGCCCAGCTTATCGCCCTTGGAGAAAGGCGCGTACGGAGCGCCCTCCAGCATGTTGTCGGTGCTGGTGGCGGGGCCCCAGGTGTCCTCCGCGGGGAGGGCAGCCACGAGGTCAGCAATCGATGAAGGTGCCATTTTGTCTGTAGTATCGGTGTTTTGATACTTTGGCGGGGGCAACAAAGATTGAGATTTTCCCGGATTGGATTTGTGTGCGGCGTGGCTGGTGCAGGGCGGTGAGAGTCACTAGCCACACTCGCTAGAACGCCACATTTCCTTCGGTCCCTTGAGCAGGAGTCTTCCACCACTATGAACAACGAGCATACTTTGCATTGACGGTACAATACAGACAGGCAATATCTTAAGTGCTCTGCTAGTTGGTATATTTTTTATCAACTACCCCTGGATTACTACTGGGGTAGAAGACCCTCGGGTTGACATCGAAAATGTGACCGAGTACCAGATCGCTATCTCCCCGGACTATCTTATGCTGAACATAACTAATGCTTTGACGGAGTAAACCGGATCTTGATATTCTCTGGGGTCCGGAGCCGGAGCACTGGATACGAGAGCATTAGCGATGACCCATGGACAGGCCGAGCTAAGACCAGTTCACATCGGAGTATTAATCACTACAGATAACTGCTTAGCATAATGTGCTGTACGAAATATTTTCCATATTGACAGAATGTTTTACAAACTTCTAACTATTTGGTGGTTATCGACCTTATCAGTGACTGCTCATATTTCTTTTTCTGTCGGCCGCATTGCTTGTACGGTTGTTCTTCGGAGTTTACTTCGGATTTTGCTTATGATATGTCTGGTTATCAGGAACCAGATCGACAGTACCTGACCTACTGACCGGGGGGATGGATGTTCTATTCTGTCACTATCACCCAATATGATACGAGCTATGAGGTGGATAGGCGAGTAGAAACAGAATTCCGGGAATCATTAGTGCTTACTGCTCTACGCTTGAGGCTGTATCGGCGACACAAGTGGCAATCCGTGTCCCTGTTTGGAAAATCCCCCGGATCGGTACCATTAGTTTGATGTCAAAGACGTCACACGACTTAAGACGCTGACTTTGTTCGGCATCGAGTGTTGCCGTTTATCAAAGGGGATATGATATTCTATACTAATGATTTTTGATTGGAAACCATCAATCTCAATGGAAGATGCTCCATAACGAAATCTTACTCCATAGTTTCCTTCCTCGGTGTGATAAGCACCGCTTCTCGAAGACGTCGTGCCGTCATTGAACTTATTCTAGGATAGACTGGACCACCGTGATCGACGTTGAATCGCTACTGCTTCCTTTCGGTTGTATCTATAGACATCGCTGTAGACTACATGACCGGTGACCAGATAACTGTCGAGTGAGACATCTCCTACGGAATACCTGTGTTCATTGCGGTTTTGCAGAAAGGGATAAACTAGCAATCTGTATGCTCCATGCGCGATACTGCAGAATGGTTTTTATGGAGAAACCCTGGAACACTCCGATATCCATAGTCAAAACAAACGAATAGGATAAAGTCCTTGTGACTTGGCCGACCAAATAATAACCCTTAGATGGTCCAATCACAAGCCATGGATCCCCGCGTATTCTTCTATGTCCCCCGGGGCTCTCGATACGGACAACCGAAGGTGGATAGCACGCTACTGTCAATTATTTGCTGGCCTGGCTCTCCAGCTCGCAGTACATTGCCCCCGGTAATAACAATCTCATACCTCGGCAAAGAACAAGCACCATGGACCCAATGAACCCGGGGCTTCGGAATTGGATAAATCTTGTTATCAGGAACAAGGAACAATGCCTGACCTACCAGGGACCACAGCAATGCAAATACAAATCAATAGCATGAGCTATGAACACCTGAGGAAATTACACACCTGCTGCCAGTTCCAAATCCGGGAAAGCGCGTACGTCGATCCGCTGATAAGGAACTTAATGACCGGCGTCGAACATATCAGATTGCCTTTTGCTAGTTTACAAGTCACTATCAACATGGCCCGATATGAAGTGTTCCTGCGTATATGAGAGGTAATTATGTTTGGCTAATTGGTTATCGGGGCGCTGTGCTGGACTCTGACCGAGGATAGGCCCTCCTATCTAGAGTTTGCAGATCATGGTGATGACCCATGGGCGCGGTGTTGGGCCAAAATAGGAAATGGATGGATGAATGGAGCCCTGCTCTCTCTGTATTACTTGTATTCTATCCACATCTATTCTGTGGATCGGGGGACTGGAAAAGTTATATAAACCCATTGAACACCGGACAAACCCTCAGCAGACAACAAGCAAAGCATTCAATCTTTCATTCTTACTCAATTCAATTCCTCTGAAACAAACAGTCTTTTCTATTTCTTCTTCAAACCACAAAAAAAAAAAAAAAAAAAAAACACAATGAAGCTCTCCATCTTCTCCACCCTCGCCATGGTCGCCCTGGCCTCCGCCTTCCCCCACGAGAAGCGCGAAACCACCGAGGCTCAATGCGTCAAGCCCTACCTCTGCTGCGGAGAGCTCAAGACTCCCCTCGACGACACTGTTGACCCTATCCTCATGACCTTGGGTATCAACGCCGCAAGCCTTGTCGGATCCATTGGTCTTGACTGTAAGTTTCTGCTGCTCAGAAAGGTGATATTGGACTGGGCTAATAATTGTATAGGCAAGGCTTATGACGACTCTTGCAAGAGTGAGCCCCAGTGCTGCACTGAGGCTAACCTTTTGGTATGTTTTTTTAATTGTCTATGGGTTTATTGGAGATGTGCTAACTGGAATAGGGTGGTACTCTTGCTCTCGGCTGCGCTCCGCTCAAGTCCAAGTCCAAGTCTTCTTAAGTGGACGATGCTTAAGAAACGCTGGACTGTACAGATTGTCTGAGTAGGGGATTTATATATTAACATTCGGGACGGCATATTGTTTAGCATTAGACAATGTAATATAATATAATCACATTTGGTAAAGTACTTCTATTTTATGTAGGAGCTGTACCTTGTTCGGGATATAGATCCGGATGACCTGGCAATGCATAATGCATGAATAATTGCTTACCATTCTCGATACACACTAAACCAGTAGAATATGACATGCTATCCCCCAATCCAAGCATGTATGATATCACCTCCTCCTCGCCAAAACCAACCCGGTCCCCCATTCCAACTCAACAACAACCTCCCTCCAACCACCCTGCACACCCTCCCCACTCAACCCACTCTCCTCCTCCCTGATCCTCTTCATCAACTCATCAACCACATCCCCCGAATTCACCTCATCCCCATCATCCACCTTCTTCCTCCTCTCCGGCCATCGCCCCTGCCACCCATGATACGCACTCCAAGTCCTCAAAAACTCCGCCAACACCCCCAACTTCATCTTTGCGCACATAAACATCGTCCCCTCCCGCGTCTTAGGATCATATTCAACCCGCGTAGTCTCCCAATCCTCAACAGGCGGTTGTATCGCACGCAATTTCCCCATCACGATATCCCGCCCTGGCTGCTGCCAGTAACCCCCCAACAGGTTCGGATCAGTACTAGACCCATAATGCTCAATCAACTCCGTCGCACGCGGATAATTCAAAATAACAGGATCCGTATACCCCCAAAATGCAAACGTCCCGCCAGGCCTAACGACCCTCCCTAACTCAGGCCAAAGCCTCTCATAATCAAACCAATGCGCCGCCTGTCCCGCCGTAACCAGATCAACGCTCCCATCGTCTAGAAAATCCGAGTTCTCAGCCGTCGACTCGTGGAACGATATATTGGGATGATTGCCGGAGAGTTCCTGCGCGAGTTGTAGCATTGGCTGCGAGGGGTCTGTTGCGTGGACTTGGGCGAAGGATTTGCTTATTTCGCGGGCGACGAGGGCATGGCCGGTTCCTAGGTCTAGGGCAGTGGTAAGGGACGCGGTGTGGAAGGAGAGGATGGTGTTGTAGAGGTGGGGTGGGTAGGTTGGGCGGAAGGTTGAGTAGCGGGCGTGGGAGAAGGAGGTGCTTCTGTGGTTTGGGTTGGTTAATGGGTGTTTGGAAAGGGAGGGGTTAGTCACCTACGAGAAGGACGCCATTATTGTGGTTTGGATGAGGAGAGTTGACAGGAAGATGGAGGGATGGAGGTGTTTATCAATTGAAGACGGGGTAACTCCGAGCCCCGCTATCTTATCAGATCAGGGCACTATGGCATCAACAAGATGGGGCAATACATATTGGAATATTATTTACATGTCTACAAAAGACCATCTAAATGCACAACCGGTCACCCAATGTACGTCGCATACTTCACAAACTCCTCGTCCACCCTCAACCGCTCCCAATCATCATCTCTGATACAAATACCAGCTACCATTTCGCCGCGCGGTGACCTGGGCATCAAATATCCCAGACCATCAAACGGAATGAAGCGCGGTCTCCGCACGGCCTCCGGCTTCCCCAACCCAAGCTTAAAGTCCAAATCATAGAGGTTAACCTTGGCCCACGAACTGAGTGCAAAGTCCGTGGCTGTATCCGCGTTCGCAGTGAAACTAGCTTTCGTCTTATCCGGCGAGCGAGTGAGGAATGTAACGAGGGCGCGGGTGTTGTATGCCAAGTCTACGATTTGTGGGTCGAGTTGCGAGCGAAACTTTGATGCAGTGGCGCCCAGGGGCTCTTCTACCAAGTGCTGCAGTGTGGCTGTGTTGTATGTCATGTTTTGCATCAGTCCTGGGTATGTCGGCGGGATCCCCAGGTGTTGTCGGACATCGACTGCGCGCCTGAATGTGGATTGGGCACGGGGTTCCAGACGGGGGATCCGGGCTCGAGATATACATTGCCAGATGAATGCGCTGACTGTGTCATCCGTCGAGATAAATCTGGAAAAAGGGGGAGTGTTGCTCGTTGCCAAGAACTTAAGGGCCTTGAGGGAGCTTGGAGAGAAGCTCAAATAGGCCCAGGTACATTTGGGCGGTGGTGGCGGTACTGGAGGTTCATCGTCGATGTCCGGAGAAGGTCTCACTAGTTGACAAGCAAGTTCGGGCCCAGGTTCGTACGAGTCATCCAACAGGGAAATGGCTTTGTTCCGATCTATATTCCCTATCGCCAGTTCCTCACTGGTGAAAGGCTGGTTATGACAAGCTTTCGACAGCATGTACATAATCTGCCCTTGCCCAGTCATGTCCATGACATTATGCTGCCCGACAACGGTAAGTATACAGCCGCCAGCGATGAAATTAATCTGAACAGCAAAGACAGGCGCAGAGTCAGCTGCCAGCCCAATAGTACTTCCTGGCAGATTAAGAGTCGCGCAAGGCGCAATGACATTTTCATCCAGCATGGTAAAAGGGAAATCGCCCTGTCGCATGGCACTCATCGTCGGCGCAGAAGCATCATGTCGGAGATCTTTGACGACTAGCGGGATTATGTCCAAATGCGCGAACTTGTAGATACCGGTGTTTCCTTCAGATGCTCCCTCATAGATAATCTGTCCCGTAAGCCATGGAAAACTCGCACCCAATCTGTCCAGGCCAGTTTTCAAGGTGTTGACGATATCATCATGTGAAGCGGGGTCGGTGATCGGGTAGACGCTGCATATTTGTGTGTAGAGTTTGTATAGGAACGGCACTTGGCCGAGTATATCGAGGGCGTCGCTTTGCAGCATCATGATGGTAGTGGTAGTAGGCAATTCAATTGTTGTTTCTCATCTATTATAGTGTTTGCAATACGAGCCGGCCCCACTTCTCGGGCAAGTCATTGTGAGTAATTTTACTGAATTCCTATTGGACAATTCCTTTCTACTTCTATATGTGCACATTGAGTTTGGTCATAATCAATGAAGAAGATACAGCTGCTATTAGTCACTCCTGCGAAAATCATCTAATGCTGGTTAAAATGTGCCCAGTCCAGAGTCACATCGCCACTGGCATCCTGTGTCTCAAACCACTCTGCCTTCGTGTCCACCCCCCCCGTTGTCCAACCTCCATACGCCCCTCTCGACAAGTTCGGTCCATTTCCTCAGAACCTCGCATAATCGCGGCCTCCTCCCAGGACTCCAAGGACACACCCGCAAGAACTTGAATAAATCCGACTTTCCCTGCGCCGTCACAAAAATTACCGAATCCGCATCCTCAATGGCAGCGTCCATATATAGCCCTGGTTGTCAATTGACCGTGAACTTTCCCACACCCCAGTCTTTGTAAAATAAAGCATCTGTAGTGTGCTCGCGGGGCACAGGACGCCTAGTCAGCCTTGGAAGCAACAAACTAGGCCACTCGTTAGGATCTGCATGTTCCATCCATCGCCGTCGCCATGTATTGTCCGCTTCTTGCGCATACGTGTCGACAAAACTTTCCTCCGAGAAGATCGTAATTCCCGGTGCAATCAATTGAAAAGAAGCTGGGCGTTTGGCACGTGATAAGAACTCCATTGTAAACAGGGAGACTCTGTCTTTGAATTGATCCAACAGTGCCTTCGATAACGGAGCTTGCCATTCCACTAATGTTTCCGTGGGTAATCGTTTCACGATAGAGCTCAGCAGCCCATCCCACGCCGCAAGGCTCTCAATAAGATCTTGTTCAACCCATGGCCGTACCAGCGGGTACTGCAGTTCGTCATCCCAGTAGTATTTCCCGCGGTCCCAGAGAGCTAGCCAGCGGCATAACACTTGGTCTAGTGGCTCCCAGCGGTGCTCTGGCTCCAATTTTGTGGGGAAATGATGCCTGTGAGCAAGGAAAGTAAACGGATTAAGAAGCAATCCGGCATCTAGATCTCTCATGTGGCTGGCGCTACTGTGTGCCGGATACAGCAGGATCAGGAACGGATGCTCATCATCGTCTTATAGGTATCCACTGGATAAATAAAAGGGATCTGGCTGGCATGCTTGCGGAGTGACGGGTAACGCATCCCGGTCCTCGCCATTTGGACCTCTGTAAGTCTCGCAAAGGCGCAGGAAGTGGTAGAGAGGTGTTTCCTCAACACCGGAGATCTCAAGTGCAGTGGCCACATCGAGTAATTCTTCGGCTAGGACTCCAGGCTGGTGTATGGCCGAGGGAGCATGCTGAATGACTTTGCAAAGGAGGAGTTGGCCATGTAGGGATGCGCATTCTTCTGGGGAGCAGGATAGGGACACTGTGTGGTTGAGAAAAGAGAAATTGAGGCCCCGGAGGAGAATATAACCGCAGGATTGGGCCCGCTTGGCAAACCCTAGGCTTGGCGTGTTTACATGATTCGATGTTTAGGTGCAGTAGCAATGATAGAAACATTGTATTTCAGCTCTAGTTTGAACTATATAAAATATGTCGTAATGCTTCTGTAATTGGTGTCGCTTGAGTCATATACTAACATCTGGAGATTTATGTCGATCTCCATGATAACAACATATCAACTTTATCCCGGTGGTAAAGATACTTGATGACATACGAACAGAAAGAGAGAACGGCCCCTAACACCGGCAAAGAATTTATCATCCTACCACTAGAACTAATCGAAGAAATAACATCCTTATTGAAGCCCACTGACTTATGCGCCATACGGCCAACATGCAAGGCCCTCAGCGCAAGGGCCTTCACTCGAACTGTCTTTGGCACAGCCATGGAATGTTTCATGACACTAATCTAGAAATTCTAATAAATCTCCGGGCCCTCACTTTAAGAGCCATGACGCTCGCGACAGATCAGAATCAACTGAGACAGATGTTTTTGACTTTAAGTACCAGCTTCCCTGCTCTCGAGACGGTGATATTTGATGAGCTGCGGTCTGGCTGGACTAGATATAACTATGTTGAATTTCCTGTGATCCCTGAAGGCGCGAGTGACGACGATTCGGTGGGTTTGATTGCTGGGTTCGAGCCCATAGCATATGATAAATTGGAGGGGCAGTGCAGGGAGTCGGTCGTGAGTTACTCGGGCCCGGGGATTTATGATGCTTTGGGTATTCTTGCAAAGACGGGGAAGATAAGGCCATGGTGAAGGGGAGATGAAGAGAGAAATATGGGCGTGCAAAGGCTGAGCTATTCATGTAGAGCTACTGGAACTATTGAATAGCTGTGTTTGAATAATAAAAAAGATAATATAGCCGCAGATCTTGAGATGATCTAGGCTTGGGTCTACTGTAGCACTAAGATGTTATACGACCATTCTGGGCTCTGCCTTGATTCCAGCTTTCTCGTAAGTCATATGTGAGCTGTACCTGGATGCTTTCCCTAGCACACAATAATGTAACGGACGCGGAGCAAATATGGACCGACTGGCTGGGGCTATTACAGTGACTGAGCAACTTTGAATCTCTGTCCCACCAACCACTCTTATCCCCCTCTTTTCTCTTTCTCGTCCAAGTTATCGTCTGATGTGTCTGTTCATGGATGTCAGCAACGGATTAGCCTGTTATATACCATCATTTACACTATACGCTATACTCTAGAGTCCTTCATTTGATACAACGTTCCTCCTTCCCGCCTCACCTCAGCTCCGTCCCTCCATCACCGCCCCAAACACTAGTAATACTCGCCTGGCGCATGAACAGAACTGAAGCATGACCGGACTCCCCCATCTCCCACCGGAGCTGGTCGAGGAGATTTCGTCCATACTCGACCCTACCGATCTGCGCGCGGTTAGATTGACCTGCAATACGCTCAACACGAAGACTTTTTCCCCTTTCTGGAGAGGAGCTCTACGCACCATCAAAACAGACCTCTCCCTTACTAGCTTGCAGAGACTGTCAACCATCTCAAGTGACTCCCAACTGCGTCGCTACGTACAAAAGCTCACCATCAGAGCATTTGACAGGGACGGAAGGGTGCTTGGGAAAGGATTCCAGTGGGAGCGTCATTCTTCTGGTCATCTAATCAATTTGCATAAGCAGCCCGCAGTGCAGCAGTTTGATCGGATCCTCTGTCATCTCATCAACTGCAATTCAATTCAAATCGAGACTACATCCACTGAGCATCCAGAACCTTTGAATGCTTTCACTGCCACTGATGCAATAATGATCATAATGAACATCAACAAAGAAGCCGGGCTTACTATCAGGTCGTTTACGTTGGATATTTTTTTCATGGGCATGGGGGGTGGTGATGAGGAGCTAGCAAATCTGGACCCCAGGCGACTACAATTATCCGAAGCCCACTACGTCGCGATTGGGGCAAACCTCGAGGAGTTGGATGTAAGATACAAGCCTGACTCCGATTCAGCTAACGACTGGCCGTTAAATGTCATGCTGCACGCCCCGGAGCTTCGCAAATTACGTCTCGCATGTCATGCCATGGAGAGGGTTTTTTTCCCGATCTTTACACTTCGTCTCGCATTGATGGATCTTCCATGCCAACATTTACAAGAGCTTGAATTCTTCTCAATTTACACAACGGTCGAATATTTCATCGCTCTACTCCGAAAATTCAAGCAGAGTCTGCGGGCCCTTAAACTACAGTCTGTGAGGATTGAGTCAACACTTGATGATCTGAAACAAATGTTTCGAGCCATGGGCACCTTCCCTGCTCTGGAAATAGTCAATGTCAAGTTAATAGACTCTGGTCCATCCGGATGGAGGAGTGTTCACTTTCCAGCGATTGCTCAGAGGCCAGTAGTAGATGAAGAACAGGGTACGACGATTCGGTTCGATGAGTGGCCACATTATAATGGTATATCGTGCGTGGAGTACTCGGGGGAAAATATGAAAGTCGCCTTGAATATCCTTGCAGGAGCAATGGAGTTTGCCTCTGGATGGTGATATACGGGCTACGAATGGCATACTCGCCACCTCAAGCAAAAGAAGTACAGATATGTCGTGCATCCTAACCTGTCACTGTATGAACTCGGGTTGATATAAATAACTTAATAACAGTCTGCCATGTGCTTCTTATTTCCAAATAAAATAATCAGAAAAAACATGTCTCAACTGAACTCAAGGGCTATACATAGTCAATTTCTTCGTAAATCATGTGATCTCATACAGTGTAATTGATACTCCGTAGTGAATCGAACAATTCGACCAGTTCCGTCCCAGCTGTGACCAGCATGTGAACACGAAGCAACCATGGCACTTGATAGATTACCACGGAGCTCGTCGAGACCATAGCATGGTTCTTGGAGCCTACTGATCTATGTATGCGCCTTACGGACGACATGCAAGACCCTCCATGCGATGACATTATCTCTGTTCTGGAGGACTTTGTTGCAAACTGTAGAGACTGATCTTTCTTGTACCAGCCTCAAGGAATTGTCCACTATTGTAAGATATCCCAAACTACAGCGTTACATCCACCATTTGACCATCACAGGAACCAACACGGAAAACACAATCCTTGGAGAGGGATTTCAATACAAGCGCAGCCCCTCTGGCCAATTCATCAACCTACAAGAACATCCTGCAGCTAAACAGCTTGAGGATATCCTCCGTCAACTGTTTAACTGCAAGTCATTCAAAATCTCTACTATGGCCAGGAGCGCGCGCCTGACACCGCGGGATGAGCTCACGCATGAAGAAGCAATCACGATCTTTCTGGATATCATCACAAGAACTGGTCTTCATGTCAGATCGTTCAATCTACATTTCTGGGGGAATCATGAGGTCGACGGTGATAGACTATCCGGTGAAAATAGTGCAAATCCCAGAGAACAAATAACCAAAGCCCAGTATATCGCACTCGTGACACATCTTGAAGAACTAAAACTAAGGTATATATACACGAGCCTTGGTCTCACATTGGTCACAAATGGTCATTCAACATAATATTCCGCGCCCCCAGACTTCGCAAGTTATGGCTTGGGTGCACCTCCGTGCCTGGTTATCCAGAATTCATCCATCATCTTGCTTTCACAGAACGTCCATAGCCGCAACTGCAGGAACTCAAACTGTTCTCAGTTTATGCATTGATTGAAGATTTCACGGCTTTATTACAGACTCAAAAACAGTCTCCGAGTCCACAAATTCAGCTTCTTTAGGTCATCTATCCAAACTTCATCACAGGACTTTACAGCTTTACTCCAGAGATTCAGCCAGAGTTTGTGAGTTCTCAGGCTAACCAAGCTCAGACTCAAATAAAGCCATGATTATCTGAAATCAATGATCCAAGCTTTAAGCACCAGACACCCTGCTTTAAACACTGCCAGGATTGACGTGCTGTGGTCTGGCCTACTTGGATGGGATTTTGTCCAGTTCCCTGCGGTCATGGAGAATCCCGTTGTGGATAAATTCCAGGGTACGAATATCGGTTACAAGCTTGTAATGTATGAGAATGCGAACAAGGCTTTTACTGTGGAGTACTCGGGTTCAAAGATCGATGTTGCTTTGGATATACTTGCGAGAATGGCGGATCTGGTTCCTTATATTTGAACGGGTCATAGGGAACACTATTACCAAGCACAGATCCCAACATTTTCCATCGGCCCAGATCTCCCCATATTAGAGCAGAACATCTCAAATGACCCCTTACGGGTCTCCACAGGACATTTTCCACAGAAAGCCGTTCTATCACACGATATCCCATCGTTATTCCAATAACAACCCCGTTTATTACCCACATTGAACGGACCGATACTTGGTGTCGCTGCGAGCGTCATACTGAAAATCCCCGAGGAGACCTCAGTAGTGTATATTGCCTAGACGTCGGGTCAGCACTGCACACTACACACTACATTTTTATAGAGGAGAAAAGCGAGCTGGCCTACCTGCTTCATCTCACACGTCGGAAAACTCCTCCACGTCGGCGACGCAACTGCATGAACCGCGAAAACATGCGTGCAAGGCGGCGCACTCTCTCTATCACACAACTCGTAACTCGCAACCGCGATTCCTGTAACTGCAGATGCGGGGATAGTAGTCGGTCGAGAGTAGTAGGTTCTGTCGGAAGCGTGTGCCTGCTCATTGGAGTATATGGCCGAGAGGCGAGAGCTTAGTGTTGGGGAAACGGTTCCGAGGAGGTGTATATAGTCTTCGCGGGTTGGCATTGTGTCGACGATCATTGTGCCGGTGGGGGCTAGGGTTGTTTTCTTTGGAGTTGTTGTGCGCCTTGTGTCGGTGCTTGTGCTTGCTGTCGTTGTTGGGTTGGTTGTTGGGTTTAGTGTATCGCCTGGGTTACCGGGGGCGGGTGTTGGATTGCCGGCTGGAGGTGGCTCGATTCCTGCAGGTGGAGGAATAATTACTCCAGGTGGAAGGGTAATTTCGGGTATGAAGCCTGGGGGACAATGTGGACAGTCTGGTTCACAGAATAGGAAGCCTGTGCAGATCGTGGTTAGTATTTAGGTGTGTAATACCAAGAGTGAGACCTACATGGTCGTCCACAGCCATCCGTACATAGCAGTCCAGGGCTACCAGCTGTAATCTTCGTTGGACGCGTATTCAGCGCCGGATCAGGCCTTGTCAGTCTCGATGTTGGATACGGGAAAGGTGTGATTGTAGTGGTCATTGGTGGCCACTGTTTCCCATCATGGGTCCTACTCTAGATTAGTATCTGCCTAACAACTAATAGCCTAGTTTCATACGTGCTGATAGTAATCACAAATGGCGGAGGCTGGATCGAGCTTGTCATGAAGACCTCATCTTTCTCCAAAGTATCAGAGATCGTTATGGCCCAGACATCGATAGCACTGGTCGTGACTGCAAATATTAGTTATTGACCTTCACTCAACAGAAACGCAACACTCACCTGGCTCAATCTGCAACGCGGTAGTAACATCAATAGTCGAATACACCGTATAATGCGTAGTCTGACCACCTCCAAACGTCGTCTTCATACCCTCAGGCAACAAATACGGAATCACCGTCGACCACAGCTCAAACTCAATAACCGTCGGCGTCCCCAGCGTCAACGGCGCCGGAACAAAAGTACAAGGAGGCGAACAAGTCACCGTCGGCGCCGGATCGCTCCAAACCCCCGGATCAAGGTAAACAACGTCACCCAAACCCCCGATCATCGTGGGTCCGTCACAGATAGCAGAAGGACAATAACCATGCGAACAAGCAAAATTGCAAAGGCCCTCGTAGAGGAACGGGTCTAACCAGGGCTTCACGGTGACTAGAACAGGTTTTCCAGATGGTGCTCCGACAAGAGGACCGGTTTCTTTGCACTGGCAAGAGTGCATAGGGCAGTATCCGTAGGCGCAACTAAATTGGCAAAGAGCTTCTAATTTGCCTTCTCCAGTGCCGGAGGTGCAGGTGTCGTGGAGGCACCATGTGTCATTCCGTGGGACAGGAGTGACCTGCTGAGTTCCACAGAGGGCTTGAGGGCAATATCCATTCGCGCAGGACCAGGCACAGAGAGGGATGTAGCGGTCGTCTTTTCCGGGGACTGGGTAGCCTATCATACCGACGCCGTCCAATGGTTTCTGTGGAGTGCCCATGGTGGTACAGTAGCATGTATTCAAGGGACAATAGCCATAAGAGCAAGTCCATTCGCAAATAGTTTTGAGTTCATCCCAGCCTGTGCCGTTTATGCAGGCTTGATCTTGAATGGAGAGCTTCTGAGTTGCAGAGACGTTCCAGGGTGTTTGTCCTAGTCCAACCCAGGCGTTCCAGTTTGTTCGATTGCCGGTCTTGCTACAATCATTGGTGATAGTGTTTCCGTAAGCTGCAGCGATAATCTTGCCACTTCGCCAAATGTTCACGATGGTTGTACCCGTGTGGCCGCTGAAACTGACACTCCCGTGATAAAGCCCAACTTCGCCTTCTGGAACGTACTTCCATTCTGGGGTAAGTACTGCATTACCAATCTGAACACTGACATTAGCCCACGCCGTGAGTACCGCAGAAAAGAAGATCCTGTCCTGGACTATCGAAAGCGGCGCGAATTCATATTGAAAATAACCAGCCGTGTTCCCAGTGGTGTTACCATCCGAGCAAACCTGGGCGGGTTGGAGACGATGCCAGGCAATCAAGCTCTCTCGTTGAACGGTAGCGATCCCTGTCTTATACGTATCTATCAAATAGGGAAGAATAAGACGCCATCCATCATGCGGGATATCCCTGGCGTAGTTCACAGATGCCTGCTCGAATTCCACAAATGCATTCTCGCGAAGCGGCCCTAAATAGTGTGATTCGCCGTATCCGTTCCAAGAGATAATCATTAGGAATTCTGGTCGAATGAGGAAGACTTGCTGCCAGCGATGGTACCACAAATCATCTCCACGCCAGAGCCAGTTCTTCTTGTACGCGTCCAGATTGGTATAGAACCATGGCGACACGGGCATCATATAGGGTATCCCAGTGGCATTTGAATTTCCATCGCTACTCAGAGCTTCGATATACGCCGCATCATTGTAGGTATTCATATCCTCTGCACCCCAGGACCAAGCAGTCCAGCTAGTAAGTCCATCTACAACGCCATTCCCAACCTGAGCAGCCTGTTTGGCACCCAGTGAGCCCCAGTTAGGGATAAAGTAGCAGCCAGTCGCTTCCTTGATAGCTTTCCAATCCTGAATCCTATCAGCCCCCTCAAACGTCGTGACAAAAGGTCTCCCATCATGCCTATAATAAGCCTTGTGTCCGCTATACTGGCGTATCAGGTGAAGGACGTCTTCCATAGGCCACGAGCCATAGTCCTTAGGGTCGTTTGCATAGTCGAAGGAGAGAAATAGTTTGAAGTTTGTTTTTTCGGCGATTTCAAAGGCAGTAGATAGTTTATCGACGCGGTCGCCGTGGATGAGGTTCAGGGCAAAGGCATCGATGTGCGCGTCCTTGGCGAGTCGCATATCGTCTTCCCAGTCGAAGGTATCGTATTGAACGGTATTTGGGAACTATCAACTGGTTAGAGGTAATTATAGTAAAGCTGGAAATATTTACCAGAAAGTGAGCGAAAACTGCTTTTGCTTGCACTTGGCTGATCGCTAGAAAGAGAGCTAGGGCTGCCAGGAGCAGACACTTCATTGTGGGGGAATTTGAAGGTCTATGAAAATGTAGCAAGGACGCTTGCAAAAAGAAAATAGAATGAGAGAGCTCATCTTAGAGAGAAAGATTTTTAACAGACATGGCAGTTCTTGACATTCACTGACCGGAGACCCCATGTTTTGCCAGTCGAGAAGCAAACAAATAATACCATACCACCGGGGCTCTGCCTTACCCTATCTTCTTTCCATTCTCCATATCATCTTTATTTGTCCTAGATCACTCCATTACCAGTACTCATTCCTCGATTCTCGTCACAATGCTTGGGCAGCTCATACGCGCCCTCTCCTGGAGAGTCTTCTTCCTCTTACTCACCTTTTTCTCTGGTCTGGTATCTCAAACCTACGCATACAAGGAAACCATGCTCTTTGATTATATGCCAAACTGTGCCGGCAAAAAAGGTCTTCTTGACTTTCACATCGCTGAAGCCCGCGAGCTGATTAAAGCCGCCAAGCACGCGATCGATACGGTTGACCGTAACATTGTCGCGCAGAAGCTCGTTACTTCTTACTTCAAGATCGAATTTGTGCCTTTTGACGGTAGGGCTGTTGCTAGACACGAGGATTGGGCTGAGTGGGCGAGAGTGAAGAGTAACAGTCTTCCCTACAGCTATGTAAACGGCTGCTGACGAAACAGTGTACGTTGAGTTAGTAAACACATTCCTCCAAACCGGCGCTTACCCCGACAAGCGCAAGAAGCCACGTCTCTACTGCAACGACGACATCGTACAGTCCTTCCCCTGGAACGCAGCCGCGGTAGACGCGAACGGAGAGTACGTGGTGAACGAGCAGAACGGCCAGTACTACACCATCCGTGACATCTACCCCAACTTCCCCGACAAGAAAAACCAAATTCCCTATCTCGTGACAGACCGCAATGCATACTACTTTGATTCCCCGAATATGGGCGGTTGTGCTCCTGGATCACTTGGCGAGACGTTGACTGGCATGCCCGACTGGCACTCATGGCTCTCTCCCATGCAGTGGACGTCTACGCTGGACTCAGAAATGACATTTATCTGTCCGGAGGCGCTGGACGGGACGCATAAATTTCTCGGATATCTGGGACAAACGGGCTGGATTGACCCCGATTCGCACACGACGCTGGATTCGCTGGTTCCTGAAAGTGGCACCTTATACCATGAGCTTTTCCATCTGGTCAGTGGTCGGATTGGGTTCAAGCGTGAGATGGATCCGACAAAGTATAAGACAAGGATCGTGGGTGATTATTCTGCTTGTAGGTTATGGGTTTCCGGACTATGCGGCGGCGTTTGCTGACGATATATAGCGTTGATGGGGTGTCTCAACCTAGATCGAGACCGGGCAATTATGAACGCAGAGAGCTACGTTTATTTTTCTCTGGCATACTGGTATTACTATAATGACTGGAATAATGGGAAGAAGAGGATAACATTCTACCCTGGGTATGCTGTTTATTGGGATTGGCCGATGTAGTCTGACCTGTACTGGCACATGCCCTTTTCTTAAATATTCTATGGAGTACTAGTACGCCGTAGAGCAGAATAGAATATAGTAAATTAAGATAAACCAGTGAATTAATGACTAGTAGAAAAAAGAAAAGAAAACTGAGCAAACGGAGTAACTTTGCGTCCTCCGGTTTTCCTCTATCCCTTCTCCCTCCTACTACCACCACCTCATCACCACGACTCCTCATGATTTCTTCTATTTACCTCGTTAGTCCATATCTCTCTAGCTTTCAACGGTATCATTGACCCGAGGGAGCCTTTCAATTCCCACACAACCACACCCGCCGGAGCCCTACAAACAACCAAACAAAGCAACCATTCACCGTCTGCAGCCTCCTCCAACTGATACATCAATTCACCTTCTACAGGCCAAGATGTACGCGTCAAAATTGTCCTCTGTTTATTTGTTTGCTCGACGCGCTACGTTTGTAGTGACTCGTTCTGCCCCTCTTCGTCCTCTCGGTTTTAATTTTCCACCTTCCCGACTACTCTCTTCAGCTCCTCGTCTCTTTTATCCTTCAGACCTCTTTCTCTGCCTCTACTACACGTCTTCACTCCACCAAGATGAACATACCGGACTTCTGCCAGACCTGCAACGCCCAGTTCACTGACGAAGGCGTCACCCTCTCCCGCTGCTCCCGTTGCAAGGTAGTCCACTACTGCTCCGTCAAGTGCCAGAAGGAAGACTGGAAGGCGGGCCACAAGAAGCAATGCGCAGAGTTCATTACGGAGATAAATGCTGAGCCGAAGAACACCATGGGCCTGCCGGACGATCTCTGGAACATGATGAAGCACAAGGCCCACAAGACCAAGATCGTGCCCCTCCCCAAGCCCACCCCGAGCTGCGTGAGAAGTTTCTTCAGGGAGAGTGTAACCCTATCCGCGAGACCATGATCAAACATTCGCCGGGCAAGGTCAGACCAGTTTTCTCGGTTGGAGCTGGTGCTTGTACCTTTGTCGATGGAAAGCCCGTTCTCAATCCACCCAAGGGCCTGACTGCGGGTGTTTTAATGCCGTTCTCTCGCCTTGATTCGAAGACTTGGCTGCACGACCGTGCTGAAGCTGATGTCTACAAACTGCCGATCGATACCTACCGCCTCCGCGTCGTTCAGGAACAGAGAGATAACGAAAAGCCCGAATACTCTGAAGACCCCATAAATGGCTTCAAGGCCTTCCTTAAGCTCTTTGGCGACAAACGCGAGTTGCTTCCTGGCTCGTGGGCCGAGCAAAAGGCGGAGGAATGTGTCAAGGTCGGTGAAGGCGAGGGATGGAGCCCTTTACATCGTATGGTTTTGAAGAAGAATGACGTCAATGCACACTACGGAGAGCCGCGTTTAGGTTTGCAGCTTCGTCTCTTCGGAGAGCAGGTGTATGATACCGCTCCTGCGGGCCGTGAGTCGGGTTTCCACGATGAATTTTAAGTCTCCTGTCTCTGTGCATCCTACACATGTACCATGTTCCAGGATGTCTTTCGATCTAGCTTTCGATTAAGGGGGTGAAAAGGGGGTAAAAGTGCTTCATGCTTGTTTATGTGAGTGTATCTATTACAAAAATCAAATTGCCACGCATTCTTATATCAATTTCCCTCTATACCCACCATCTCTTCCAGTATCAGCATACAGTCACCTCACCATTATCCTAACATCCTCCACCTCCTCCACCTCCTCCACCTCCATCACAACCACCACCACCACCACCTCCTCCCCCATCTCCACCGCTCCCCCCTCCATCTCCACCTCCATGACTATGTCCATTCCATCGCGAGCGACCGCTGCTCCGCTTATAGTACGGGTTCGGTCTGTAGTAGTATTGACTATTGCTTTGCGTTTGGGTCTGCGGTTGTTTTTCGAGGCGGGCTCGTTCACGTTTGCTGGTGCCAAAGCACATGTTGTTTTGCTTTTTCTCCGTGGTGACTGGGGAGAGGTAGCGGATAGTATAATATATGGCTTGTGGATTTGTTGGAGTTCCCTGTCTCAGAGGAGAGTAGTAGTAAAGGTCTTTGGCTTGGTTTGGATGTTGGGGTAGTTGTTGAGTGCGGTCGAGGTTTTATATCGAGTGGACGAGGCTGAGATACGAAGATGATGATGAATGAGGCTGAGGCTGAGCACAGTCGGATGCAGATGACTATGTGACTGATAAGGATGAACAAGATTGGTTTGGCTGTTATACGAGATCGGCTGTAAGAATCGCCCTGCGGATTTGTAGCCAGTAGTAGGCTCTGCATGTGCCTTGTTACGTCTGTGCTGAGGTTGGATCTACGTATTCTCTATTGTTCAAAGTCTTGGTTATTATAATATGTGGTACATAGGTGTTAAATGTCATAAATACAAACGAGTAGATGATATCTGCATAGAATAAATTTCAATAAGCGCGACTCCCGATCCAGTCAGGCACGAATATCATGAGTCGTAAAGCCATCATCAAATCAAGAAAACAAAGTCTGAGAACTATCCTCCCACTCCCCAAAGCAGTAAACGCAACGAGGCTCACCACAGCACATTCCATTGCAATCAACCACCTCACCGCAACGAGCATACGCCTCCGTGTTTTCGACCTTGATCTTCCTGGAGCTTCTTCTCGGGGCACTCCTCTTCTTTCCTTTCTCGAGGGCAGTAGCAGTAGGTCCTTTGACCTTCTGAACAGACGCAGGATTGCTCTTCAGACTCAAACCCAAACCAGGACCAACGTTCTTCTTGTCAGAATCGGACCTGACGCGCGTAGGGTCTGGGGAGACGGGGATCTGAACCTCGATCAATCTTCCCGAGGACTCTGTGGTTTTGATTCTCTTTAACGCAGACTCGTCATGCTCAGGCGCAAGCTCGTTCCTCAACGTATCCGTATTGGCAAGCGCAGGTGTAGTTGTCTTCCTAGGTCTTCCACGTCCGCGTCCAATATTCGCCCCCGTCCCCGTTTCCGCTCTCATTGTAGTCAATGCCGGCGCAGAAGCAAGCGCAAGAGCTCCACTCGCATCAAAGCTCCCCTGAATCGCAGAAATAGCAGCCTTCTTGCTCGTGCGCGGTTTGCGAGGGGTAGGAGTAGGAGTAGCAGTCGCGCGTGCGGGTGAGGGTGCGGTGGCGCTCTTAGGACCCATGCTGAAGGTTACTTTGTTCTTTCCTGCTCGGCTGTATTTGTTGAGTTTTTCTTTGATGGCTTTGGGGGTTTGTTTGTCGTTGCCGGCTGGTGGGAACCACTTGCGTTAGTGACTGCGTTCGATGAGGAAAGACAAGAGAAATCAAAGGGAGAAAGTAAATAGAGGACTCACGCCAGGCTTGAGAGACTTTGTCGAGCTCGAGAGTTAGGCTTTGGGTTTGGAAGATGGTGTGCCAGAGCTGTGAAAGAGAGGGGTTATGGTTAGTTAGGAGCTGGGGTGGTTTGCTTTGTTTTCGAAACGGGAAGGAGGGGAAGGAGAACGTACAATGTCCTCGTTCTCGGTGGTCCAGCGCATTTTGATGGTATGTTTGATCGCGTGCTTTCAAAAAAGAGATAGTCGAAATATGATGAGAATGAGAGCTCAGAAAACATGAAGAAAAGATTTTTATTTTCTGTTGATATAACAGACCTGCTGAGTGAATAATATGACTATGGGACAATGCGCGCCGACTTTATTGATTTGCAACAATGGGAAGTATCAGATAGTCCAATGAATATACCATCACTTTAGTGCTGAGTAGTTTTATTGAACTGGCATATGCCACTAAGTAGAATGTATGAATGGTGAACGAGCAGCCCTACTTTCACTGCAAAGTAAAATTGTGCAGCTCGTGGGGAATGGCCATGGGATAACCAAGAACATCCTATATTCCTAGTTCCCGGCACCATATTCCATGGACGATTGAATGAATGTTGTTTCAAGGCATTGGTCTCTGTACGTTGCCTGTCCGTATTGATGCCCATTCTCCATGCGCAGGGAAGGCTGCTAGCATCGACTATTAGTGGCAGACGAGGTATATGATACTCGACACGGTGCATAAAATGTTATTAGATTATCATAGTAAAAGGCCATTAGTATTACTTAGATTTGGCCTTGGATTTGGATTTGCGCTTGGGTTTGGGTTTAAGTGTTGGTTTTCGTTTCGGTTCCGGATTCACACTCTTCAAAAACGCCACTTTCGTCTTCTCCAAAGAACCCAATACATGCCTCCGAAACAACCACCCATGAGACTTGGCTAATAGCGCATCCGCATTGAAATAGAGATACCTCCAATTCAGCGCATTAGCATTTTGAGCCAGTTCATTCAGCGCAAGCTCTCTAATGAACCGATCCCGCCAACATGTCTGCGGGACCATGTACCTCCACTGCGGAAACACCCACATCAGGGTCTTGATATCGCGAAGACTGGGAAGGTAGTCCATGATCATAATGATAATTTCGATGGGGGCTTCTATGCGGCACACGTCGAAGGTGGATGGGCGGAGGCCCATTCGATGACAACGTGGTGTTCGTGGCTTCCATGCTTTTATCTTCCTGGGCTTTGATGGTGTTGTTGCTGCTGGCGCTGGTGCTTGTGCAGCTGCAGCTTGCTTGTCCAACTTCTTTTGTGTTTCCTTTTGGATCTTTTTTTTTATGAGACTCTTCCAAATCGCTCAGTAGTCCTGGTAATTCGGGGACGTTGAACGGGTCCCTCGGCGCAAAGGCATAGTCCAAACAACCCTCAAGAGCTTTCATTTTCCCCTCGCATATCTTAGCATATTTCGCGGGATCCTTCAAAGCTAAATTCATATAGTACTTCTGACCCGGCTGCTTCCAATATTGCTTCTCATCAATCAGAAACTTATTTGCACCTTTGGTATCCTTCATCCGTTGATACAAAACCTTGGTAAACAAAAATAGATTGCTCTCAATCAGACCAACGTCCAGAATCCGGGTCATAAATGCCCAACAGCGCTCGTGCATGGGATACGCAACCGTTCCATATGCTGGGCGATTCACTGGACCGCCTAGGTATACTGCTAGCGCCCTGTCCATCCACTTAGTAGTATCCCCCATAACGAGTTCTCCGGAATCACTCGTAAAATGAAAACGGTAATGATCCCAGCTCCAAGTATTGAGCGTCACGCCGCTGAGTGTGTAGTCGTCTTTGTTTGACGTTTCGGTTTGTGTTCGGATGACTTTCGGAAGGTTTGTCAGGGTCAGCGTTCAGCATTGAGCATGTCACCACTCACTAGCTCGATGGAGACGCTCCCACATCCAGGGTATATCAAAGTAAATGTCATTCAAGTCCTCTGGCTTTCCAATAACACAATTATTTTTCTCATAGCTCTTCGCCCATTCGTCATGTTCGGCAAATATCCGTGTTGAATCGACGGTGCTTCCCAGGCTATCCGCTCCGAAGCCATGGCCGCATAAGCCGCAACAGTTCATCGGCATGTTCTGCTTTTGCCTTTTCCTTTGTATTCTCGGAAACCGGTTCTACTCGATCTATTATTTATATGTACTGTTGTCCAGACGTCATAGTGAGCGGTTCACAAATGAGGGATATTTCGTACAATTGTTTGACGTGCTCGATCAGAAATTAGATGTTTAGTAGACAGAAATATTAAATCATTTCCAGTGCCATTGAAACTAAAATGTGAGTTAGACCGTCGGTAAACTTTCCGTAAACAATGCAAGTGTTGGCGAATTCTAACACGCATTGAGTACTACTGAAGAGAATGAGTTGTCTAGGAAGCCGTAGTTGCAAGCCCTAAGCTCGAGATCATAGAGGATTAGCTCTCAATGACTACTATATCTATGCCTGGGAGCTTTTGCATTTGAATGACATGAGACGGAAATTTCCCAGTCATATCTCCGTTTCTGGTGGCAAACCGGCTCAATATTGATTGCTACGAGCCTAAGAAGCAAGTCGAGGCTTTCCTGTCGACCATGATGTTGCAGTTACTCACAGTCCGAGTGGCTAGTGTCTCTATGGAGACCAGGGGGGTCAGACTTGATGAAGGTCTGCCGTATGGTAACTGTTTGATGTTATCGTCCTTTTATTTACATTGATTCTTTCAGTCAACATATTATTGGGACTTTGTTACTATGTCTATGTATCTGATCAAATCATAATCATAATATCTTTCACGCACCCTCAGCATCCTTCTTCGTCTGATCGTAATGAACCACCGATTCGAGTAAAGCCTGCGTACCAAGAGCACTGCATACCACATTAGCCATTATCAAAGAACAACCACCATAAAGAAAGAAAACTCACCAATCCTCCGGACTACAATACTCCTCCGGATGATGGCTAACGCCATCCCGACACGGCACAAAAATCATGGCCGTCGGACAGTGCTTACTCGTGTAAACACTATCATGGCCCGCACCACTCGTCATATCCATCCACTTTCCAGGACCAACGAGATTCTCAGCAGCGGCCTGAATAGACTGCACGCAGCCTTTGTCGAACTGGACTGCGGGAGAATCTGTGTCTAGTGTCCAGTCGAAGGTTACGCCCTGGCCGTCCTGTGAGGCGACCTGTGCGAAAGATTTGAGACATTCGTCTTGGACAGCGTGTACAACCTCGTCCTGCGGGTGTCGGATATCAAGGGTGAACGTCACTTCCGAAGCGACGGTGTTCGTAGACGCGTTAGACGGGATTTTGAACACGCCAGTCGACGCCAACGCATTGTGGCGCTTGCCGATGTCGTTCGACACAGCAATCATGCGAGACGCAGCCAGCAACGGATCCTTCCGCGCGTTCAATGGCGTTGTCCCCGTGTGAGCGTCTCGTCCTTGGACGGTGAAAGTCAGCCATCGGTACCCCTGGGCACCCCGGACGATACCAATCGATCGTTCTGTGTTCTGGAGAATGGGGCCTTGTTCGATGTGTAGTTCGAAATGCGCTCCGAGCTGGAATCCAGACTTTGCGTCGCAGGGAATTGATCCTAGGTATCCGTGTCTTTCCAATTCCGATTTAATCGTCACACTTGGATCATGAATATCGCGCAAGTCCCAGGCTTTCTGAATCGGAATACCACCAGCCCAAACACCAGACGAGCACATAGACTTCGGAAACCGTGCCCCTTCCTCACTGTTCCAGGTCAGTCTCACGGTCTTTATGTGGTTATAAAAAGAGCAACACACTTCGTCCAATTAACAACCCCAACATCATAGTGCGTCCTAAACCCACTCTCCTTCATCGTCCTCAACACCTCAACAGCCGCAACAACACCCAAAACCCCATCATACCGACCGCCTCTTGGCTGCGTATCCAGATGACTACCCATGGCAATCATCGGGGCAGAAGAGTTAAGATCCCCGGGTTGTCGCGCGAACATGTTCCCCATCTGGTCTGTGGACAGTGAGCAGCCGAGTTTTTCGACTTCTGTCGCGAACCATTGTCGGACGCGTGCGTCGTCGTCTGTTAGGCAGAGACGGGCCATTCCTGTTTCGCGGGGGTTTCTGGGGCTGGGTTAGATGGGTGCTCAATTTGTAAATGGGATTGGCAAAATACGTACTTGCCATATGGATTGGCAGCCCCCCATTTACATGTCTCGTGTATTGTCTCCCATAGCCGGTCAGGATTGATCTTGAGGCCGGATGTTGGGGGTCTGGAGGAGGTTGATAGTTGTCGGATCGTACGGGATGCGCTTGTAGGGAGTCGCATGTTGATTGATGTGTGTTTAATTATTTAAGATACGGATTTCGTGGTATATATGAGGTCGGAATAAGTGCGCCTTCTAGCAACAGATGTTAGTGGAGACAGATGGAGGATGTTGAAATCTCCACTCAGTCCGACTGTATTTGGATAAAATAGAGCAATTTTATACTTATTTACCGAAGAAAAATTGTTGATTGGGCCGTTTTCTGTAAAAAGTTTGAGGGCACCCTCCGATGACATTATGACCGATTCGGTAACTAAGTGGAAGTATGAAAATCTCCCGCCTTCCAACAACAAAAGAAGATCTAGTTCAACCATAGTCTAGTAATCCAATTCTATCAAGTACAAGGACTTCAAAAAACACTATACCTTCGCCTGTTGTTCCCTAAGCGCCACGGTCAAATAACCCGCTACCAACGTCACACACCCCCCAAATCGCATAACCCACGCCACGCTCTCATCCCAAGGTTCTCCCCTAGGTTTCTGCAACACTTTAAAAACAGCACCACTAAAGAGACTAGAGACAAACTGCGGAAGCGAAATAAACACATTATGTAGACCCAGGACAATACCAGCTTGTCCTGCTATCCCGGCATCGCCACCTTCAGTCGACTCTTCGTCGTGGCGGCCGGAGTTAGAGGTGCTTTGGTCGGCATCTTGTTGCCCTATTTCTCCCGCGATGAATGCCCAGGGTGCCCATGAGGTGATTGCCCATGGGATGCCGATGATTCCTGCCATTATCGATGCGGCTGTGGTGGTGGATATGAAGAATGTGCTGAGCATGCAGGCTGCGAAGAGGATGTGTGATAGAAGCCAGAGACGTCGGAGAGTTAGACCCGTTCCAACGCGCACGCCAAAGTATGGTATACGCCACGATGGTCCGGAATCCGAATCAGCACTTGTTTCAGTATCCTTGTCAGAAGGAATCAAAAGCGGCAGGATGATACTCGCTGCGAACGAGACGATCGCGTTTATAAAGAGGGCAAAGGTACCGATCCGTGTGGCATCCACCCACATTTTATCGATCTCGTCATCGGATAGATCGTGATGTTCATCGAAGATCGGATTAACGTACAACTGACCTATATAGGTCGTCGCGTAAAATAGGAACAGGAACCATCCGAACCAGGACGCAAACTGGATTGCAAAAACTCTCCTTGTCTGCGACGATAATCTATTGACAGACTGGTGAATTAACCGGATGAGCGACATGGGGGTTAGAGCATTTGCTGCTGGTTGTGCCTTATGATGGACTTGTTCCGGGGTGTAAATACAGGTTATCAGTAGCGTAACCAATAGTGATAAACTCGTAAGTACGCATAGCACTTGAAACTGTGTGCTTCCCAAGATAGGGAGAATCGTTGGCAGATCCATGAAACCAAGGATACAGCCCAAGATATTTCCTGCTCCAATAACACGACTTGCCCAGGCATTTGCCGTTTTTTGCTGATACGTAGGGGCAATGTCGACAATCAAAGCACGGGTTGCCGCCTGAACTGTTGGAGTCAGATCTACTTTCAAATAGGTTAGGATTAGCAAGCGAGGATACTCACTTGTGTTCATCGCAAAGTCAAGACAGTACATCAAGATCATCGCCGCGGCGATTGCAGCCACTTGCACCTTGTCAGACTGAGCATCGACGCCAAATATCCCTAGCAAAGCTCCAACTATCTCTCGTATCCACGCCAGCGCCAAGAGGCTTATCACGGTCACGGTCCCGCCAAAGACCATAAAAGGCCTTCGTTTACCCCAGCGGCTGCGGCAGTTATCACTGCGGATACCAATGTAGGGTTGTACGAGGGTTCCGGTAAGAGGACCAGCAACCCAGACAAACGCAACTAATGCCTTGCTCATTCCCAGAGATAGAAGATATGGCTTTGGTCATTTTGTGGTTAGAGACGATCTATGACGGGTTGAGTAAAGTGACCCACGGATCCACTGGAATGCTGGATAGACCAGACTACTTGAAGACTGGCAACGGTTAACACATTGACATAGACATGTCATAGACAAATATCTTTTTATTTCTTACCCTCCCATAGTGAGAGTCAATATAAACAGCTCCCAACTGCTTTTCGGTACCTGATCAGGCTCATCCTGGCCGGCAGGGATCTCCGACTCATCATCGATCAGGGGTGCTGCCTCGCCGTTTTCGGTATCCGATACAAGACGCGATGTCTCATCGACTGCCATTCTGCACTGAAGATGTTACTTAATATAGTTGGCCCCCAGTTGGCCTAAGTAGGGGGTAAATGAAATGGGGATCGGGGGCCGGAGGTCCGGAGGAGTCGATTATCCGCGACTAGCGAGGTCGTATACGGAGAGATCCAGTTTTAACGAAGAGATTGATATATTCTCGTCTATATGCGTGTACACAAGTGCTTGAGTGCTTGTCTATCTAAATGTGTGCTCACGCTGGCCTATATCATCGGACCGGTGGAACTAATCGGTCCGACATTATTCCTTATCAGTAAATACGAGACAGAGCACGTGACTGATGTCGGCGACATGTTTCTTCTCTTGCGGCTCTCGCTGTCGGAGAATCCTGATAAGGAATAACGTCAGACCGATTAGGCAAGATCCGCCGGTCTGATGATGTAGGCCAGCGTGTACGCACGTTTAAATAGACAAGCACTCAAGCACTCAGACTATCTTATACGAGAATATATTGCCTTCTTTCGTTTTAATAGATTCCTCCATATAAGGCCTCGTCTAATTGCGGATCATTGATATCTCCGATTCCCCGAATCCCCACTTCAAATCCAACCAGCGCCTGCGCAGGCTATGCACGTTGATCCGGAATCCCGTTAAGGGCTGGTGAGGCCGGATCTGGTACTGTTACGTCCAACATTCCAGGTATCATGCGGGAACTATCTCGGCTGGCAGGATGGTACCTGACAGCTAACGTTGACTGGTTCTTGCGCCATCCAGGATGACATCTTTCAGGGAAGATCCCTTCCACATGTAAATAGCAGCGGACCCTTGGATTAAAATCCCCGCAAGTGGAGTGTTACAATCAGGCTGTCGCATTTTTTTTCTCTCGGCGCCCCAGGGTGGTTCCCGAATCTTTCAAAAGCGGCAGGCTGTCGCGTGTCCTCCATGTTCGCGACATCATTAAGATGAAGGGGTTTCTGTCACTTCTCAAGGCCGCTGGCCAGACCCTGTGGGAGCGCACAGGCTGGGATGCCACTCGCAAATATCTCTTTTCCGTCATCTTTGTCTCCGTGGTCGCCTCCAAAGTCCTCCATATCTACACCCATACCTACTATCTGACCCTGAATCGCTTCCTCGTCTGGGGTTCAACCTTTTTCCTACAGGATGTTATATTCCTTTTTATCGCGCGCGCTTTCGCCGGGTCGTTCCAACGGTTGCCGCTCCGGATCATGGGCGGCGTGACCGTCCTTTTTCTCAGTCTATACGTCTCACTGCTGGCCGCGGCGACCATCTCTTTTTACGCCGTCATGGGTCGCGATTTCCATTGGGGGCCGGTGATTGGATTTTTCGGAGACATGGCGGACGCCAAAGCCCTGGTGATAGGCATCTTTGGTGCCATCTTCTTCGAGATTGTCATCTTGGTCGGCTCGTACTTCGCCACACCATATGTATACGAGGTTACCGGGGGGTTCACCAAGATTTGGTCTTTGTCTGTATCGGCCCTGCTGCGTTGCGTCTTCCGGAGGAAAAAGCAACAACCTCTCCCAGATCCAGAAGTCTACGAGCAAATTGCCCTCGATGACCACGAGGATGATAAGAGCGACAATGAGTTCGGATTACCCATGGAGCCGCCCCGGCCTCGCGAAAACCCGCGCGACCACCGTTCTGGGTCCTTGCTGAAGCGCTCCGTCGTCATTTCGGTCAGCTTGATCGTCGTTTTACTCAGTTGCGTTCGACCCCGTGATCGGGGATATCGCATTCTCTCCCGTACCCTCGCTGCCGTGCCTTTCATAGCCCCCGCGCACCCGGTTTTCGAGGGCATCGAGTACCTGCCTGGCGATTATAGCTGGCTGGAAGGCCACACCGCGTTGGACACTCCTCCAGTCCTCGATTGGTTACCGACTGACGAGCCACTGCCCGGCTTCAAGGATTGGTACTCCCTTCCTTTGAACAAGCGCGATGAACAGGCTCCCAGGAACTACGTGCCGATCCATTACAACCCGGCCAAGGATCCGCTGCACACACCAAACCTTCAGAACGACATCCTAGAGCCGTTGCGGGAAGCGCTCAGCAGTGGAGACGTCAAGGTCAAGCACATTATTCTCGTAAAGCTGGAGAGTAACCGACAGGACGTGTTCCCCCTCCACGCTGACTCCTACGTTATGCAGCGCGTCAGGGAGTCTTACGGCGGTCACATCCCCAAAGAGGTTGAGGATCGATTGGCCCATCTCACACCCAATGCCGAGCATTTCACTGGATTCGACAATGGATTCGGCAAAAGTGAGCAGGACCGCCCCAGGCCCCGCGGTGGCCTCAGCGCCAAAAACGCCTACACCAGCGGCACTTTCACCCTCAAGAGCATCACGGGCTCGCACTGCGGTCTGAACCCGCTGGCTATCGACATGAACCGCGAGTGGTTGTACGACATCTACCAACCGTGCCTGCCGCAGATTTTGGACGCAATGAACCGCCAACCCAACATGACGAGCGAAACGGATGATTGGACCTCCTGGCCGTGGCACACCATGTGGATGCAGTCCGTGAGCGGCGGATACGACTACCTGACCCATCTGATGCCCGCTCTGGGATTCCAGGATCAGATGAACAAGGAGACAATCGACGAGATCGGCGGCGAGTATGCCCCCGACGGGTCGCAGGTCGTTGGCGACCGTGGTTACATGGATAAGGTGCTAAAGAACTATTTCCGTGACGTCGTTGCTGATGCCGAGAGAAACCACAAGCGCCTCTTTCTCAGTCATCTGACGGGCGCCACGCATCTTCCTTGGATGCTTCCGGGACACCAGCCTGAAGACCTTGCGGGTGACACGGGGCGCACGCTGAACGATCACATCAACCGATACCTGAACAGCCTGGTCTACCAGGATGAGTGGCTGACCGATATTCTGAATATTCTTCAGGAGGCCGGTGTTGCCGATGACACTCTTTTCGTCATGGTTGGCGATCAGTAAGTTCCACCCACACATTCCCTGTCTTACACAAAATACTAATATCATTCAGCGCCGTTTCTCTCCCCAACGACGGTGGCGTAACACCCCACGACAGCCCTCACGTCCAAAACGAACACGTCCCGCTAGTCTTCTCGCACCCCAAACTCCCGCCAGTCGAAATCGACCTCCCCATCCAATCCACCCAAATCCTCCCCACAATCCTCGACCTCCTCCTCCAAACCCCCTCCCTCAACCCAACCTCCCACCAAATCACCAAAGACCTCCTCCCCATGTACCAAGGCCAATCGCTCATCCGCCACCTCATCCCGGAGCACAAGCACACGCAAGAATGGCACATCACCACCCTCAACACCGGAGGGTTATGGATTGCGCTCCGCTCCGCTACAAAGCAGTACCGTATTGTGGTGCCTCTTATCCCGAATACCAAATGGCGGTTTACAAATCTTGAGGTTGATCCGTTGGAGATGAAGGCTATTAAGGACTATGGGGTTCTGTCGTTGGTGAACGCTGTGCAGAGGAGGTATGGAGTTGAGGCTGCGGAGTGGTTGGGTGAGGCGGTTCATGTTGCGAAGTGGTGGATTGAGGAGAATCATCGTCGTTGGGGGTATGATCCTACTGTGCCGAAGAATCCTTGAAATCTCGACCTACACCCGAACGCCGGCTGAACCCCGGAAGCGAGTCTGGTCGCAAGCGCTTCTCTTCGCTCAAAACCTAGCGCGGCATTTTTGGGATTTAGTCTATCCAAACCAATCTGAAACTAGCCGCAAGTATGTTATTTTAGGGAAATTGGCCCATTGGAACCCAGGAATTTGTACAATAGATTGGAATTCTTAGGACACTCACTACAACAATACGGAGCATTTTCTTAAAGAAGGTCATGGTTGCATTGCGCTATCTAAGGCAGTAAGGCGTGCTAATCAGAAGCCGAGAATATTCCATCGGATCTCTTATCGGCTATAGTTAGTTGGTTATAGTTAACGTAATCCACGGCCGAGCCGTCCACACGGCCGTCCCGTCCACTTCCTCCGCAACCACCACGAATTTGAAGCTTTGCAACCACTAACACCATTGAATTAAAATATATAACAGACAAAATATCTAGCTATTTATTAGGGCAGCTTCTTATTGTATGCCCAACAGTCCCACAGCCACTACAGCGTGGTGAAGCGCGTTGACGAGGCATAGGTGTAAGCTCATCAACCTGCTCATTAAGCTGTGTATCAAGCTGCTGTATATGCTCACGGCCTTCTTGTACAGAGATAAATAAATCATTCCCTAGAGAAGCACGTTTCCTTGCCTTCTTCTTTATTTTACGTTCACCTTCAGCTCGTAGAACCTT